CCCCCCCCCCCCCCCCCACAAGGGGGCAAACTCCTTTGCCCACCACGGCCATCGCCCTCGACACACCTTGGCCGTCTGCTTACAATCCGCCGGTGGACGGGCACCCGGCTCAGACACCTGCAGCGGTCGTTGACCCGCTCCTCTCGGACCCCCTCCATGCGGCAAATGGCCCCCGGCTTTCCATGCGTCCCAGCGGCCCTGCCGATCACCAACGGTCATCTCTCACAAGGCCCCTGGCAAGAGCGGGAGAGACCGGCCCGGCAGGTCCCCTGGGGCGCGGGCCGGGGCGGGCGTCGGACCAAGGCGGGCCAGAACCCCGCCCCGCCCCCCCCCCGGTGCTCACCCCCGAGGTCCTTGCCCTGCGTCGATTGGCGTGGGGGATCTTTTCCGAGGAGTCCCCAGCGGAGGGCTTGCCTCGCAATCTTCGGTGTGGGGCACGCATGCATGTCGGATGCGCGAGGAGCTCCCCGCCCCGCCCCCCCCCCCTCCGGCCGTTTCCCGGCGAAAATATGGACAAGCATCCACATTCCATGGGCGAGAAACTTGGCTCCATGGAGCCAGGTTTCCCTGGATCACGGGCGTATTGAGATTTTCGGAAATAGTCACGTGTAACCATTGCGTTGGGACTAAGGCCCAGATGTGACCCTCCTCCAATGAGGCTGTCCGAGGAGGAGGAACGCCAAAAGGCAAGTGCCAGCCACGCACATGGGCGCGAGGGATGTGAGAACCGCGAGTATCCATGGAAGAAGAAAGCCCATCAAATACTAGCGCCGTCCCTCCGCGTCCTCGGGGGGAAGTGGGTCGCGAGAGTCCCTTTCCTCCCCTCCCCGCGTCCTTGACACCGCCCTGGCCAGTGGGGGGCCAGGGCTTGATTCAATTTTTAAGGGAAAAAAGATGCCGGGGTGCAAGAAACGGCTGGCGAACGCGGGCATGCTCCATTTTTCTAGACTCCTCTCGTCAGACGAGGGGTGGGAGAGGGATGCACGTCGAACGACGAATGGCACCGCACATGCGCACACGCACGCCATGGGATGCCCTCCTTCCCGGCTCCGGGAGGGAGAGAAACGGGAAAGACATGGAGAGTCCCATCAGCATGCTTGACTGAGCATGCTATGGGGGGGGGGAGAAAGCGAGGGAGATAGACGAGAATGGGGGCGTGTTAGGAAGGGAAAGCTGGGGGGGGGGGAAACGGAGGAGGAGGAGGGAAGGAGGAGGGGGGTTTCAGACAATACTCTGCTAGGATGGGTAGTGGCAGCGACATCGGGGGGCGAAGAAAGGTTCTCCACGATCGAAGCGTGGTTCTTGCCGATCCCGAGCTACAACGGGCAGACAAAGCATCATTAGGGCGAGGAGAGAGAAAGAGAGAGAGAGAGAGAAGGGAGGGAGGAGGAGTCATCGTACCATGTGCGAACAGTGGGCGCAAGAACGGCGGGGGACAGAAAGAAGGAGGGGAGAGGGGCAGAGGTGTCGGGGAGCGGGCGAGTGAAGGGCCGTCGCTCCCTGTGGCCTCCTAGCAAACAGGTGCCCGCACACATTCGCCGCACGGCCCCTGTTTATATAGGGGCCTGGGGTGGGTACCGGCACCGAGAACACCATTTTTCGCGGCTCCCTGCACCGAACCACGCCCCGGGCACGGAACGCCACACGAACAGACGCATCTTCTCTCATGTTCGAGAAAGGGCATTGTGGCCAGGGTGCAGCAGCAAGGAGGGCGAAGCCAAGAAATCGGACACAACAGGCAGAAAGCGAGCCCCGCAGCATGGCACCCCTCCCGCCCTCCGGCCTGCCCACATTTCCGATTGTCGCAGAGAGCCCAGTTTGTGCTGGGCCGCCATCCTCACCAGGTACCAACGGTCGCACTTTGCCTCGAGAGTACTCGGGCCCCCTGCCTGGCTTTCCCCATTTCCCGTTCCTGCTCTCTCGCCCTCTCTCGCGCATGGTGGATGATTAGATCTATTATTGTTGCTTTGACACCTTTTTCTTTTTTTTTGGCTTTTTGCTCCACGCCCCCCCTCCTCAGTCTCGCATACTGTTCCGCCACTGGGCCTGGCCAAGGCCCAAGGAGGAGGGAGTCCTGCGCGCAGGGGCCGCTGTGGGTTGTCCGGAGCAGTTGGGTAGCACATGGGGCTGGGGTGACGGGGTGGATCAAGAAGAAAAAGGAAGGTATGCATACACACACACACACACATGCCCCGTGTTAGTCGGACTCGTCGCCAGTGGCCGTCGGGTCGACATCCTGCGCGGCAGCCACCGCCACACCAGAAGCCGCGAACTTGATCAGATGTTCGTTCATGGCCTCGGCGATCTCCGGCGCCAGGGAAGCAGTGACAATCTGGGCGTTGATGTTGGGCTCGGCCTCGGCCTCCTTGGTCTTGGGCTTGGGCAGGCGGAAGCTGGCCTGCGCCACGGACTTGTCCAGGGTGAGGGTCATCAAGCCGGGGGCATTGACACTGATGCCGAACAGCGACTTGCCGAAGACATAGTGCGCCACCTTGGTTGGCTCATTCTTCTCCATGGAGAAGTGCGAGAAGCCGTCGGCTGTGAGAACGATGAAGGACGGCGGGCTGCGCGGGAAGGACACAAGCAGCGGCAGGTTGTCCCCCGAGGCGTCCGGCAGGGCGGCCACCAAGCGCAGGAACTTCGACCGGATCCACGCTTCGCACTCGGCCGGGGTGTTGGCGCCCTCGATCTTCTTGAACTTGTCGTGCACCGCGTGTACCCGCTTCTCCCAGTCGGAAGGCTTGCGCTGCGAAAGGAGGTTCTCCGGGATGTACTCGGCAATCTTGTCGGCAATCGAGCGAGACACCTTCTTCGAGGGAGGCCCAGTGCGCAGATACAGCTCCAGAGCGGCCAGCTCGGTGGCAACCCCGGCGTCGGCAACCACAATCTCCCCGCGGAAGACCAGGTCCTGCAGCTGGTTGTAAGCCAGGCGCAGGGCAACCGGGTCGCGCGCCAGAACCGTGACCTGGTCGTTGATGGTCTGGACCTTCTTGGATGACTTGAAGGCAGACCAGCCCCGGGAGCGACCGGCCTCCTTGTTGGTGTCGAGGGCCGCATTCGGGGCGACACATGGCTCCAGCAACCGCGAGAAGGGCGCCTTCAGCATGAAGCGGATACGCGACTCCGAGGAGGGGATCACATCACGCTGAGCAGATAGCGGCCGGTCGCGGTCGATCCACTGGTCTGTGTGACATCGCGGTGGAGGGGAAAGGGGAGGGGAGGACAGAAAGTGTGTGTGCGTGAGAGAGAGAGAGAGAGAGGGAGAGAGTGAGTGAATGAGTGTACGCGCGGAAAGGCAGACATCAGTGTGATGCGGAGAAAAGGTGCCCACCAAATGAAGGGGCAAAGGAGGGCCAAAGGGTGACGCATTGCGCAAAGAGAGGGACCACATACCAACACCATCATACCAGACCGCCAAGTCGAAGAGGTCAACAATGCGCGGGTCGATTTCGGCCTCATCATTGTGATCATGCTCCTCATCGTCATCGGACCCGGTGGAGCCGGCTGTGGCACAGCCGATGTTCAGCAGCGAGGCCACCATGTCACGCAAGGTGCGACCGGTCATGCCGGTCGGCGTGGCGGAGGCGCCCATCCCTGGCGGCGCAGTGAACTCCGATTGCAGGCTGGAGGCCGTGGCGCTGGCCGGCAGGTCCATGCGTGTGCTCAACTCCGCGTCATACGAGGCGGCCGTCACCACAATATCGGTCTTGGCACTCGAGGGCTTCTTCGTCTCGGCGCCGTCAGCTCCGGAGGAAGAGCCGCTGGCACCGAAGGGGTCGAAGTCGTCGAGCGGCTGCAGGTCCAGATCCAGATCCTCGAGGGCACGCGCACGCGTCCAGGCATCGGTGTACTCAGCAATCAGGTCCCCGAGGGAGGTGTCACCGGCCACGAAGGAGGCACTCCCAATGCACGCAACATTGGCCGACCGGTTACGCAGGTAGAGGCGCACAATGTGACGGAAGGGCCCGGCGGCATAGGGGTCCGCCTCCAGCAAAGCCATCGACCCCTGGCGGATGTAGCCCGGATCGATGCCATCGTGGTAGTAGAGGTTGGTGACGATGCGCGAGCGGATGATATCCTGCTGGCGGTAGAAGGCTTGGAGGACCTGGAGAGCGGGGGGGGGGGGGGAGCGAGAGTTGGGTGAGGACATGAGAGAAGGAAGAGACACTCACAGAAGGGAGGGGGAGGAGGGGGTGTGGCTGCAAGAGAGCTGGTGGTAGTGATGACGCACGAGACGGCCCTTGTTGTTCATCCACACCGCCACGCCATGGGGCGAGACACTCAGGACGACAGGCACATGCATGAGCATGGCGTTGCGGTTGGTGGCCTGGGGCACGCCGGTATAGTTCTATGGGGAGGGAGGGGGGGGGGGGTGACAGATGGCCACAGGAGCAGGCCGGCGTGGGTGTTGTGCGGGGTCAGGAGCGCGTTGCAGGGAATGTGATACACTCGCAAACAGGGCACCGTACATGACCAGAGAAGAAGTGCGCCGAGATGAAGGGGATGTAGCTGAGCGCAATCTTCAAGAACTGGCGATGGGACTCTGCGCAAAAGTAGGCCGGGAATCGTCATGGTGACAGGGAGCGAGAAAGAGAGAGAGAGAGAGGGAAGCAATTAGATATACCGCCCTGGGGGGACTACACCAGGGAGAAAGAACGAGGAAGCTTGGGAATGAGGGAGGTACGTACGGATCTTATCCAGACCAGCGAGAGCACGGTGCGGCTCAAGCAGCGCAGCGGCCAGCTGCTCCACAATCTCCTCATCCGTGGTGGCATGCGGAAGAAGCTGAGGGAGGATGTACTCCGGGACCAGGGAGCGGACCATGGACATGTCGCTGGTCAAATGGGCACATGGAGTCAGGGGGGGGGGGGGGGAATGTCGAGCATGGCAAAGACCCGGCGGAGGAAGGGCAAGAAAGAAAGCGGAAGAGAGGGGAAGATGGTCGGCCGGGGGGGAACACACCTGACGAAGGAGACACCCTCCTTGAAGTCGCCATGGCGCATCTGCAGCCGACAGCCAGCCAGCTCCAGGTACGCCCGCAGGGGGGGCTTAAACATCGGGTTCTTCATGGCCAGACGCGAGTCGATCTACAGGCGGACAAAGTCGATTGTCAGTGGCCCTGCTCCGATGTAGGGGGCAGCGAAGGAGAGGGACACCGGCCGGGCGGCCACACGCGCGCGTACCTCATGGATGGCCATCTCGAGGGAGGACTGGTCGTAGAACTCATCCATATGCACGGGCCAGGCACGCATGCGCAGGTACACAATCGACTCAAGGTCAAGTTCCTGGGCGGCGATCGGCCGACTGGACGACAGCCAGACCATCGGGCAGTTGACGTCTGATGGGGAGGGGAACCATGAGAGGGGCCCAAAGGGCGAAGGAGACATGTGAGAAAGGGGTGAAAGGACACCGGTGGACATGCCCCAAGGGCAGGGAAGGGGGAGGGGAGAAGCTGGCCCCACGGACGTACCCTCGTCAGTGAGCGTGCGCTGGAAGCGGAGACGCTGCAGACCGAAGAAGCGCGACTGCGCAATGCCAGCCTTGCGGCACACCTGATCGACCATTTGCTTCGAGTAGCGCACGAGGAAGGCGGGGGCGAGACGGACAGATTTCGTCAGGTGGTGCCGAAAGAAACAGCGACATATTCGATGAGGGAGCGGAGGGGGGAGAGAGAGGGAGAGAGAGGGAGAGAGAGAGAGAGAGGGAGAGAGAGAGACGTACAACGGTGGTGGTTTTGCTCGTGAACACGAACTTGAAGTGCGACTTGTTGGGCAGCTCAACCTTCAGGACACCCATGATGTCCTCGGCCACCTCCTGTGCGGTTTCCAGCTCCACCTGGGGGATGTCGTCCTCCGGGATGAAGGCCATCACATCGACCTCCTCGGGGCCGCTGTTCCAGCTCAGACCAAACCCAGCGTCGGCGCCGGTGCCACTGGTGGACACGGTGCCGGACACGGTGGAAGTGTTCGAAAAGAAGTCCAGATCGGCGGTCAGGTTGTCCAGCTGGCTGGTCATGTCGTCAAAGTCGCCGAGAGCCGGTGAAGCGTCGGTGCTGGCACTAGCGCTGGTGAAGGCATTGAGGTTCATGCCCTCCAGCAGGGAGTCCAGGTCGGCCAGGGCCGCGACAGTGGTTTCGTCCAGATCCGCATTCGGGAAGTCGGTGGGGGGCGGAGCAGACATGGTTGTGTTACGCCTTGCGCGTGTCGGAGGAAGCGAGAGAGGGGGGAGGGGGGGGGGGAGGAAGGGCGCAACGGGTGGAAGGCGGAGGGGAGGCGCCCAATGGGAAAGGAGCAAAGGAATGCCGCAAGCGGGGGAGAGGGGTCTGCCGCGAGCAGTGATGATGGCAGAGGGGGGGGGGGGTAAGGGGAGGGGGAGTGTGGTGACAAGCCGGGCCTCGAGCCTCCCGGGCCAACAGGCGGGTGGCCGAACAAGGATCAGCTTTTCCTTGAAAGAGAAGACCCCCCCCCTCCACCCCGACCACACCCGCCCACACCTCGCGGCGTCTGTGCAGTGTTTCACGCCGACGATGCGAGAGGCACCATGATCGACCGGCCGCAGGAGCCGGCGCCCCGTTTGTCCCTGCCCTGCATTTCCAGGTCCCACGGTGTTCCCCGCTTGGCGCACCGGCAGGAAAAAGCCCCCGAAAAAGACCTCGTCAAGATTCGGGCTAACGCAATGGTCCTGGCCCTCCTCCCCGGGGCGGGACGAGCAGGGGGAGGGGGGGGGGGAAGGGGCCAGGCGGAGAACAAGCAAGCTCAGAAGCAAGTGACCGGGTGACCGACCTAGCGGCGGCCGCAGCGGGTTGTGGGGGGGGGGGGCGGGGGGGCGAGACGGGCCAGGTGCACGCGAGTTTCCTTTCACCCGAGCGCCGAGTCTTCCCCTTGATGCGCGACCCCTGCCCCTGTGTGCCCCTCGCCCCTCGGGCGCCCCAGCTGGCGCAGGGAGGCTGTTGGGGCCGCTCGCCCCGCAAGAAGGGGGCTCCAGGCCTAGCCGAGAAAAGCCCGGTGAGTCGGGGGCCGGGGGCGAGGAGCGACCTCGGCCACCGGAACACCCGGAGACAACATATTATGCCCCGGGGTCAAGGGCCTCTCGCCTGGCGCGGTGTTTTCCCCTCGCGCACCCGGCGAGCCCCGACCCCCCGACGCTCGGGCCCTCCTCGATGGGGATCGGGAGGTGGGGGGCCGGGATGAGGACCGGGAAAAAGCCGCCTCCAGGACCGGGAGGGACACCGCCGGCTCCTTTGCCCGGGCTTGACGCCGCGGGGTCCACAGCCACCATCAGCCCAGCAATCCGGACGAAGGCCCTCCGGGCTAGTGCCCGACAAGGGAGACAGAGACGGGGCGAGCAGCTTTCTTGTGCCCCCGGTTGCATGCCTGTCTGCTGGGCGCTGTTGTACGCGGCCCCGGCGGCCGCATCCCTGACACACGGCTCACCCTCGGGGCGATGAAAAAAAAAGAAAGGAAGCGCAAGAGCCCGGAAATCTCAACTGAGCCTGCCGGTTGGCATGGCCACTCGGGCGTTGGTGCCGGCTGACCCCTCCGGAAGAGAGAACACCGTGGGTCATGGCTTGCGGGGGCACCCGGCCCTTGATTCGCTCGGGGACCGAGCCACACGCGAGCATCCCAAAGCCCTCGGTGCTGGCTCGCTCTTCGTCGCCCGATGGCCCCGCCCGGACCTCCGGTTACCGGGCCCTCAGGCCGCCCTCTTGCTATCCCGCCCAAGTCCCTTCCTCCAGCACACGCCCAGCTTGGAAGGGTTGTGAAAGGGTGCATGCTGGTCTTCGCCTGGCGGCCTCGGCCTTGAGGGCCTTGAGGGCCTCCACGCCCCCAGGCGTGGGCCGACCCTGCGGCCGAGCCCTCTTTATGGCTGACTGCAGCCCCACCCCGAAGGCCCCCACAGCCCCAGACCTGGCCGCGTGCTGGAGAAAGGGACACAAGCGGACAGCGAGACTGGGAGAGAGAGAGAGAGCAAGAGGGAGAGTCACGCACACAAAGAGAAAGAGCGACAGAGGGAGAACAAGAGCAGGTACTCCCGGGGGGGCGGGGTTGTACGACGCGCTCCCCCCCTGAGCGCACTCGAGTCCTTGCGTGGAGCCCCCTTTGGGTGGCAGCCTGGGGGCCGTGTCCCAACCACGCCGGGATCAGGGACGCACGGACCACGCCTCCCGCCTGGCCAGCGACCCCCAGCACCCGGCGTCCTTCCGTCGACGACCCAGCCCTCCCCCTCCCCTGTGGCTCGCCAACGCGCCGGCAGCCAAGTATACACACACACACACACACAGGCCGAACGATTAACTCCTCCCGCCTCCGACTTTCGCGGCGGGCCGAGGCTCGCCGTTTTTTTTCACGTTGAGGCGCACTCGTCCCCCGGAGGGAAACGCATGGCCCGTTCGACCAGATATTATCTATTATTAAATATGCCTCATACAGTCCTCAAACTTGCGTCCATTGCTTGACCACTGTCTGACGGGGAACGTTCCCCGGGGCAGCCCCGGCCGCCCCCCGCCCTAGCCCGAATGTCTGGCTAGACCGGGTCGCCCCCCCCGCCCCCCGCCGAAGGGTTCCCTAAAAGATTTCCTTGGCGCGCCAAAAACGCACCAAGGGCCGAGGCAGGGCTCGGGGGCTAGGACGACCTGGCGCCCAATGTGCCCGCCGCCGCCCGGGTCGAACAATATGTCGCGGCCCGTTCTCCGACGCCTAACCAGGCGCCGGAGCGGAGCCGCCAGGCCCCCGGGTGCACACGCGTGCGCGCGCGCGCACACACACACACATACAACACACACGCGCGCGCCCGCCCCACAGGTCTGATTCTCAAAAAGGCGCCCAGCCAATGAGATCGCCCGCCCGATTCGCCATTCTCGAATTGAGGTGAGGTGCCTCAATCGCTGACACGATCACGCGCGAGACACGCGCGCCACTCCCGCTCGTGTCTCAGGGATGATCACACCACCAACCACAGGGCTGCCCGTCGATGGCCCCCGGTTCCGCGGCCAGCGCCCCCCGAAGCCCGATCTGGCCCCCCCCCCCCCGTTCCAGGCTCGGGAACATCCGCCGCAAGTGCGGCTGACCCGACTGCCCGCACTGTTGCCCCCCCCCCCCCCGGCAGGAGCCCATGGTGTTTCCCTGTCTGGCAGTCCCGCCGCCACCCGCCCGATGGGCGGCCCTCGCCGCCCTTTGGGGATTTCCCTTTTCCGATCAGTTGAGGTGGAGGAACATCAGCCACCTCGGTCGCACCTCGCCGCGTGCCTCCCCAGCTTCCTCCGTCCTTATCCGCCTCCTCCCTGCCCTCCCCTGCTGACGGTTGGCGTCGTTAACAGCTGATCGACCCACCAGGCCACTGGGCTTCCTCTCCTTCTCTCTTTCTTTCCTCCTCCTCTCTCTCCCTCGCCCCGGCTTTTCCTGTTTTCTCGTCGCTTGCTGTTTCCGCCCCCTGGCCGGCACCACCATGGACATCAACCCCTATGTGGGGCCCGTCCCCAACTACTATTCGACATCTTGGCTACAAATCCTCGCTCTACTGGGCCTCTCCGCGATCGGTGTTGTTCTCTGGATCGGCCGCCTTTGGAAGAAATACTCCAAGTTGAATGATCTCCTCCAGGCGCAACGTCTCAATGAGGTGCGCCCTCCCCCGGCATCCACCCACCTCCACTTCCCCCTCCCCATCCGTGCCCATCCGTGCCCATCCGTGCCCATCCGTGCCCATCCGTGCCCATCCGTGCCCATCTGTGCCCTTCTGACCGCTCTGCCCATCTGTCTGGCCAGGTGGTCCGCCTCGACGGGCTTCTCGACACTGAGAGCGCCAGCTTGAGCTCCTACACGTCATCCCATTTTGACCGCGTCGCACGCGTCCATTATGGGGAGATCCTGCGAGACATTCGCCGAGCCCACTTCGGCGTGCGGCTTCTCAGCAACAAGACCACTGCCACGATTGCGCCCCCTTCACAAACATCCCCTTCATCTGGTCTTCTGCCGCCGGTGCTGCCCGACTTGCGGTTTCTCTTCCGCCAAGTCCATCCTACTGCCAATATCCCTGCGGAATTTGGCCCCACACCCAGTCCCCAAGGATCAACCCCGGCCATAACTCCGACGGCTGACCCTGCAGCTGCCCCGGGCACCGATGCCGACGCATATCCGACCCGGGTCCGCCTCTTTTGGTATGTCCCATTGCACATCCTGCGCCGGACACTTGTTCCGGCCGAAGGTTCATCTCCCGAGGCTGTCCCTGTCGGTGATGGCGTCCCCCAGGCCGACTCCTCGATCCTGTCCAGCACTCTGCAGCAGCTGGCCACATCATGGGCCTCCGCGCGCGCCCTCTTTGAAGACCCGCCCCTGGAGCAGCTGGCCATGGCCTCCGGGCACTCGTTGGCCGATTCGGAGCTGCTGCTGGACGGCAGCACCACCGGGGCTCATGGCGGTGCGGCTGGGCTCCCGGTCGCCGAGCAACTGGCCACCATGGCATTTCGCAGTGTGGAAGGCTTCGCCGGGGACTTTTGCCAGGCCCTGAAATCGAGCTCCTTCGCCTCGGAATCCCTGGTCGCTGGGTTCTCCTCCACGGGGGCGGTTTTCCCCATCCTCCCAAAGAACCCCCTGGCCGATGATGACATGGACGACATGGGCACCAAGCTTGGCCGGCTGAGCCAGCACTTGTCCCGTTCTGGGCCGGTTTGTCCGCTGGTTATGGTGTCCTGGTCGCCATTGTCCACTGCGGCCGAAGTGTCCCTCTTCGATGTTCCCCTCATCCGGGGGAGCTTGGCTGCCACGGCCGCGGCCACGAGCGCGCCTCCAGCCAGTCCCAGCGCCTCGCCCCTTGGCGCTGTGACCCTCATCTGGCAGTGCGTCCTGTTGGCCCAATCGCGAACGGTCACCACTTTGGATGACGTCTTCCATGTTGGCTTTGGCGATGTCAGCGGGCGGAGCTCATCAAGCGCGATGGTGGCATCCTCTTCTGCATCCGATGGCTCGCACACCCCCGCATTGCTCCCTGCACGTCCGCCCACCACAGCCGAGCACTGGCACCAAGGGGGCACCTCTCATCGTACTCCCATCACGGTTGCCAGCCCGGATGGCGGTGACTCTGCATTCCCACCGGCCGCCGGGGCTCCCGTCGCCCCGGATTACGCCTCCAACTTCGATCTTCCTCCCTGGACCGAGGACGACTCCGAGTGTGTTGTCTGCCTGAGCGACATCCCGACGGTTATCCTGCTTCCCTGTCGGCACCTGTCTGTGTGCCGCCTTTGGTGCGCCTCCCCCTGCATCTGTCTCTCACGCATGGTGGGGGTCTTTCTCTTTCCAGGCTCCCTTTGCAGCTAACCATCCACCTATCTCCTGATGTGTCACTGCCCGCAGTTTCAAGGAGCTGGACAAGTGCCCTGTCTGTCGGTCAACCATCAGCTCATACCTCCTGCTGGAAACACCCGAGGCCACGTCACAGACGGTGCCGGTGATGCCCCCCACCGTTCAATCACCCGACCTTGATGTTTGAGCCCACGTGTCGGGGGGTAGAAGGGGAAGGTCGACCTTCTCCCTTTCGGTTGTCCCGTCCTCGCCAGTTTGCGGGGAGAGGGACGTGGTTCCTTTTTTTTCTCCTCCGTGCCCACTTCACCGCAGTAATATACCCCCCCCCCACCCTTCCCCCTCCTTTCCGCCTTTGGTGATGACACATCTTCCGGTGTCGTTGTAAGTGGAGCTAAGGTAACCCCCAAGGCCGTCTATTATTTTCATGTAAGCTCGCTGGAGGCCACGCCATCTTGAACACTGTGACGAGAGCAGGTACACGGAGCCGTCAGCCACTGGCCTTCGATGGGTCCATATGGTCGATGACAATCTCATCAGCTGGGGGAACCCAGTCAGCCGGAGGATTGGCCAATTGGACCATTCGCAGGAGGGGGGTTCTCCCATTGGCTGTCATAATCGGACTGGCACAGCTGCGATTATAGTGAGTGGCAAGCCAGAGGCCGCGTGTGTGCATGAGAGGGAGAGCGGGAGGAAGAGAGGGATGCATAGTGTGTGTGTGTGTGTGTGTGTGAGAGAGAGAGAGGGGGAGAAAAGTCGACGGGTGCATTGTTTCGACTTGGCCCCCGAGTGGCACGAGCGTACCGGACAAAATGCCGCCAGATGACCGTACAGCTGGACGTGTCGCGCGTGTCGCACTGATATGCTGGGAGGTGTTCCAGCCAACAATCTGTATGGGCCAGGGCCTCGGTCTCGGAGAGATCGGTCGACAGAAGTGTGCTGGATGCAGGCTGGACACCGATCACCGACAAACAGTCCACCGGGCGGGAGAGAGAGCTCCGGCTCAGCATGGCTGCCTCAGCAGGCAGCGATTGCTGGGCAATTCCATGGTCGTGAAAGTGCCCGACGAATGCGCCCAAAAGGTGGCGGCAGGCTGAAGTGACATAGAAATCGCCCTTCGGCAAGTATGGCTCCTGATCCATGGCTTACTTCACCACACAGGCATGCAAAGCAGGGGGCCGTGCGACTTTTCCCCGGAGTTGGAGAGGCAAGGAAAAAAGGAGAAGGGGAGGCACGGGGGGGGGGGGGGGGGAGGAGGGGAAAAACTGAGATGTGCCAACAAGGGGCCTCCTTGTGCTGTGAGGTGGGGTCTATTAATGCCGTGCACGACACATGCATGTGCGCTAGATGGGGTCGAGGAAAGGGGAGAGAGGGAGAGAGAGAAGAGAGAGACAGGGTGTGCGCGGAACATGTGCGGCGGCAGTCCTGGTGCCAAGTGGGGCGGAACCCGCCCCGCCCGCCACCCGGGACAGAGGCGCCGATCGCATCGTCCGCGCATGTGATCTATATATCACGCCGGGGGCATTTGGCGCGATCGCCAGAAGGCCGCGCGCTTTCCGAGCGCCTGCCTTCCCGCGCCTTACGTCCGCCGCTCAGGCCCCCCCCTGCGGGGGGACAGAAGTGGTCGGGGCAACCAGGCGAGCAGGCACCAGAGGGACTGCCTTAGAGCCCGACACTGGCGAGACACTGGGTCGCTTCAGGATCGGAGGTGAGGTTTCCTGGAGAAGGGACGGCGATTTTGCGCCAGCAGGACCCTCAGTCGGGGATGGAGAAGTCTGGCCAAGATTCAGGATCCCCCCCACCGGAGATGCAGAGGAGGATGTGAAGGATTTGGCACCCGCTGCGAGGTGGTGCAGGATGGGAGGCAGAGGCCAGGAGGGGCCAATGTCGAGGTAGAGGCCGTTCTTATGTTAATATCCAGGCCTATGGCCCCCTGTGATGTGGGTCTTTTTTTTTTTTTGCTGGGTTCTTGTCCCACTGCTTTCCCTTCGCCGCTGTGAAGGCCCCCCCCCCCACGTGTGCACATAACAGGAGAAAGGGCCCAGAGGCGAAAGATGGACATGAGGACGAACCATTCTGAATCAATGTGCTCAGCAGCCCAGTTGGGGTCCCGGAGTTGCTATGGGCCACTGGAGCCGCCGGTGTCGAGCCCTGCAGGGCGGGGGTGGATGAGGAGGCCGGTCGGCGGGTGTCACGACCAGAGCCCTTCGGCTCGTGGTCTGAGTCGGAGTCGGTCTCGTCGACCGTCGGCTTGGTTGTGCGAGTGCGATTGGCGCCGACCAGTACACGAGGCTGGGCCGCGCGTGAGTCCTGACCCAGGACATTTGTCTGTGCATGCAGCGGCGAAGGAGACTGCGATGGGATCGGCTGCGAATATACAGACGACTGCGCAGCATCCTGGCCGACCTCGACGTTGGCAGTAGTGATCGCGGGGCCGGCGGGAGCCGGGTCCGAAACCCCTGGAGGGATGGAGGCTGTCGCGGCAGGACCACCAGCCACAGCCTCAGGAGTGGCCCCCCTGGCGCCGTCGGTTGAGCCTTGCATGCGTTGACGCAGGGCATCAATCTCCTGCTCGATCTGCCTGCGTCGGTTCTCCGCTTCCAGTGCGCGAGTGGCAGCTTTGTCGGTTTCCTGCTTCAGAGCAAGCACCAGGGCCATAGCCTCCTCGACATTCGGAATGAGTGCCAGGCTGGGACTCAGAGGAAGGCTCTTCTCTGGGAAAGACCCTTGAGCTGGCGGGATCACGGTGTCGCTGCTGTGCGAAGCCCGATTGAGATTGATAAGCAGATCGAGATCCGCATCGGTGGCCGGGTTGGAGTCGGGGTTGACGAGTGAATTCGGCCCGGAGTTGAACGGCGATTTGCCCTCGGCACCACATGTGCGAGTTCGCTTCGTGGCCGACGTTTCATCCTCCAATGCCTGGGCATCCGATGCGCGGCGCTTTTTTGTGTCCACTACTGATGGTTTTGCGGTGTGTGTGTGTGTGTGTGTGTGTGTGTGTGTGTGTGGAGGGGAGGAGGAGCAGGAGGAAAGACTGTTACCACAAGCTCGAAGAAAAGGCCGCCTAATTCGGGGAGTTGACAGAAACGCACCCTCCGGGGTGATTGTGCCATAGTCGGCAAACACCTGCAGGGACATGTACTTGTCGACCAGATCGCCGATGAGCTCGGCGGCTGGCAAGTCGAAGCCAGCCGAGATGTCGAGCGCGTCCAAATTACCCAGCGACAGGGAGGAAGAGGTGTCGACGCACTGAACGAAGGCCGGCGCACGATCTTCGGATATGGCAAGCACCACATCATACACCGTCTGAAGGGACTCGGCCGAAAGATCCCGCAAGGCCGGCACAGACGGCGGGGGGTGCGGGCAACCCGACCGGACGTACATAGACAGATACACTTCGGCGGCTACCTTGGCCACCTGAGCCACCGGCCAAGATGGCCGAACAGGCAGGATGAAGCGCCGCCCTGCCAGCAGGATCCGGACAGGGAAGGACGCGTCGCGCGAAGAGGCCGAGAGTGCCCCCGGGGCCGGACTCGCGGCCTTCATTCTAGGCGTGGAGGGATCGACAGCCATCGGCTCGGGAGCAGGTTCAGAAACGATCTCGGAGGCAGGCGCCGCCTCGGTTGTGAATGTGGAGATCGACTTCTCCACCGCTGTCACAAGTGTCGGAACGGATTTGGATTCGGGTTCGGATGCTGGCCCACACGGAGACGCCTCAATGAGAGGTTCGGTCCGCGCCATGGACATGGACTCGACCCCGGTCTTGTTGGCTGCCACACCGGATGTCTTGGACTCGATTTCATCGGTGGTCCCCGAGAGATTCCCGAACATCGGCAGGGGAGTCACCCCTGACAAGGATCCGAGGCTCGATGCTGGAGCAGCCGAGCTGGTTCCCGCGATTGAGGCGGCAGATAGGGGCGGGGTGGTTGAAGTGGGACCCGGGGCCGATGACGACGATGACGACGTCGGCAAAAGCCCGCTGAAGAAAGAAGGGACAGTGCCGAGTGACGCAAAGAAGGCCCCATTGCCGGTAGGCTGGGACTCCATCTGGAGCATGGCGTCAAAGGTGGGATCGGCCAGCTGGTCACCAAGGACAAAGGGAGGGGGCGTGCCCTCATCCTCATCCTCGTCCGTGCTGTCCTCCTCGTCGTCATCTTCCTCGTCCTCGTCCTCCTCGTCCTCCTCGTCCTCCTCGTTGGCCTCGTCAGCCTCCATCTCTGCGTCCGTCGTGTGGTCCTTTCGCCCGGCCTCCTCACCCATGGTGCCTGCTTGGACACCGGGGACATCACAATCCGCAAGCCCCTGCTCGATGATTGGAGAAGTGGTGATGCCAAAGGAAGCGCTGGCCGACGGAGAATTTGTGGCCACAGTGCCGTCCAGGGTCTCGGTAGTCTCATCGGCGGTCTCGTGGCCCGAGTCATCTTCCGTCTCAAGCAGAGGGGTGGTAGCGGACAGCACATTCACAGCAGCAGCAGCAGCAGCAGCAGCAGACTCGTCCAGCTTCGAGCTCTTTCGGGGCACATCTGACGGACCAGGCGAGGCGGTAGACGAGCGCTTCTTGGATTCGGCTCCCAGCGAAGTCAACATGTGTTGTTTGGAGATCACCGAGGGGCCCAGCTCCGTCGGCGAGGACTCCGGGGAAGGGAGCTTCTGGCGGCTCGACGACTGGACTGGAGCCGGAGAGGAGGCCGAGACCGCGGAGAAGGCACGGAGTGGGGTCCTGGCCAGAGAGGATCCCAGGGAGTTGGCCAGCGGCATGGAGAAGGTCCGATCGCGAGCGCCACTGGCACCACCGGTGGCCGAGCTGGCTGGTTGCCGCGCCAGCTCCGCCAGACTGGACGCCGATAGGCCCCCGGCGGAGGTGGACGCCTTCCTGTTGTCTTTCTGCTGCTGATTCATGTGGTCCTTGTGTTTTTTGTCTCGCTTGTCCTTCTTGGAGGGCTGGGCATGATCAGTGGCCACTTTGGTGGCGGCGGCAGCTTCGGTAACGGCGACCTCGGCGGCCGCCAAGGCAGCCGCGTGGGCCTTGCGCTCCTTTCGCCGAAGGCGCTTCGCCCCACGCGATGCATCGATGCTGTTCTCCGGCAGATCTTGCAAATCAGCCACTGCGGGTGCTGTTGTGGAAGAAGCCACAGGGACGGCGGAGAGCGTGGAGGATGCGGCATTGTTAGTGGCTGCAAGTTTGGTAGCTTGCTTTTCCTTTCGACGCTTCCGAACATCCAAGTCCCCCTTCTGCCGCTGAGGCTCCTGGCGATCTGGCTTACTCGACTTCTTTCTGTCCTTGGGGCGTGAGCGGGTAATGTCATTCTCAGGAGCGATAGTGCTGCCACTATCGCCCTTGGAGCTCTTCAGTGGCAGGACCATGATGAGCCCCTGATCTATTTGGCACGAAGGAAAGGCAGGGGAGAGCTGGTGCGTCAG